ACACACACACACACACACACACACAATGCTTGATGTTTACTCGTATACCTGGAGGCTGCTTTACCTTCAGCAATAGGTGCGGGCGTATGAATACTTGCTTTCTAGCTGGAGATAGGACGTTGAGGCCGGGTGTAAGAAGGAACATGTTTCGAGCAGTTGTTGGCCAGAGTCTGAAGACGCCTCTAGAGGAGTCACACCATCTCCTCCCCTCTCCTCAGTGGGGTTTTCAGGATCAGATGTTTACCTACTGAGATTTTAAGGCCTTTTGTGACTGCGACAGAAGTACAGAATGACAAAATGAATGACTTCAGTTGGAAAGCGGAGCTGCTCGGTGAGTTAAATCGAAACAGGTTTTGTAGGAGAGGAACCTTCAGCTGCCAACTTCTTGCTTTTGATGTAGATTGAAGAAACGCGAGCGCAGCGATGTTACGTCAAGTATTTGATCATTCACACTGAGACGACTGACAAGTCTGTTTCACATCACCTCCTGCAAGTAAACCTCTGAAACTGTGTAGAAATAAATTGTAGAACATGAAAATTGATTTTTTTAAAGAAGGGCAAAAGTTCACAGAGAATAAAACGAAATAGCAAAACAATCCAAATGTTGTTCACACACAGGTAGGAGGGAAAGGTGGGCGAAATATGAGATTTGTGGGGAAGCTAGATAAGGATATAATATGGATATGCTGTTTAATGGATAAAACTCATCCTCTGAAGCTTATAGGGATGTTAACAGAACTGCCCCGTGGCCACACACACCCTTAACCTGCTGAGAGTTGAGATCAGTCAGCTGAAGAAAGGCAGCTTTCACTACCTTCTGAATGGAATTGGGTGGCAACCGAAAATGCCAAAGTCTCTCCGTAATGCCGTTTCCATTGATTCATGTGAAGAGAAAACTGGTGAATACCTGTGGGTTTGCGTCTCAGAGGGCAGGGATGCCAGAGCAGGACAGGCCCGGGAAAGCCTCAATGGTTTTATTGTCTACGACCTCCACCTTCTTCAGCTGGGTCCCATCAGCAGCTCTAATTTTAGACAGGTACAAACTCCGGCACTCTCCGTCTGTCCTCCGTAGACCCAGGGCTATTTATCTCTTCTTCTCTATAAACCATATAAATGGGTACTTGGTCAAAACTTTTATGCTGAGGATATTGAAATCATAGTGAGCCATGATTATGACCATAAGTATGACGTTATTTTAAGTGGGCTATAAACACCTAGGTGCAATCACTAGCTAACAGAGCCAACTGGACAACATTGGCTAACATAGCTTGGTTAGCATAGACTGAGATTCCCCACTCATTTTAAACAATATGAATACTATACTAAATGCTGAACTATATTATACTACTATACACTGAAACACACATATTATTCCAGTTTTACATATATATATATATATATATATATACACACAGTATATCAGTAAAATAATACTTAAGAAGGCCTAGCCAATTTAGCAAACATATTTCTCAAGTTTTGAGAGATTTTATCAATTACTTGTATGAAACTTTCGGGCATGGCCCAGAACATGGACTATTATATATCCCATCTGGTCTGGGAAGGCCTCAGGATCCCAGGAGAAGCTGAGAAATGTTGCTATGGAGAGGGATGTCTTGAATACCCTGCTTAGATTGCTGTCGCCATGACGACAGAAGAAGGTGGATGAATAGAGGATGGATGGATGGATGGACTAGTTTGAAAATAGCGAATTGTTGCTCAGACCTTTGGATGACGGACTTTATCCACACATACTTGGTGATGGAATTCCAAACGGCTCATGTAACCTGCTTCATATTGAAATACGTTGTTGAAACAATGGTTATATGCAACTTAAAAATCTAAAAACCAACATTTCATTCAACTATATTCAGCCCACTTTGAACCTGTGTGTCTTTTGCCCTGAAAAACTGCAAGTCAAAGCATGCTGGGAGGGCATGCGTGCATGTGTCACTGTATGTATTATAGCATGTGTCAGAGAAGAAAAAAAAACTGCTATCTAGATATATTTTAGCCATGAAGGAAATCATTGTCATAGAGTGTTTATTAGTGGAGGTGACGGTCTGCAGCAGTCTGTGAATATTGTCTTTCCCTCTGAGCCCTGTGTGCCCCTTGCTTCGAGTGATTCAGCATGTATTTCCATGTGTGTATATTTGTGCAGAGGATGAAGAGGAAGGATGGGTACAGCCCACGAGACACTGACACACATTTTGTCGTTGGTACCTCTGGCCACATGTTTTACAGTAGTCCAGTGTGGCACAATGACCCCATTTTCACACTGAGGGAGAGCGGGAGGAGGGTGTGTGTGTGTGTGTGACTGTAGCTCTTTAAAAAGGCTCCTTCATGCTGCACTGTTTGGCAGTGAAAGCCTGGGTTACCTCAGCCGGCTGCAGGCTCACAATCAGCCCCAAGTGGTGAAGAAGAGGTAAAAGGAGGAGAAAGAGGCAGAGTGGGGGGTCGTGTCTGTCT